AAGACGAAGCTGGAAAAAGTTCAGAGGTATGCCACTAGACTAGTCCCAGAACTAAGAGGCATGAGTTACGAGGAAAGGCTGCGGAAAATGCACCTTGCGACACTGGAAGACAGAAGACTGAGGGGAGACATGATCACTACCTACAAAATCCTCAGGGGAATTGACAGGGGGAGACAAGGATAAACTATTCAACACTGGTGGTACGCGAACAAGGGGACACAGGTGAAAACTGAGTACCCACATGAGCCGCAGGGACGTTAGAAAGACCTTTTTCAGTGTCAGAGTAGTTAACAGATGGAATGCATTAGGCAGCGATGTGGTGGAGGCTGACTCCAGACACAGTTTTAAATGTAGATATGATAGAGCCCAATAGGCTCAGGAATCTGCACACCAGTTGATTGACAGTTGAGAGGTGGGACCAAAGAGCCAAAGCTCAACTCCCGCAAGCACAAATAGGTGAGTACACACACACACACACGGGAAGCAGTCCGTAACAGCTGTCTAACTCCCAGGTACCTATTTACTGCTAGGTAACAGGGGCATAAAGGTGAAAGAAACTTTACCCATTCGTGTGGTTAATGTGTGCACATACGTGCACACATTAACCATCAGGTGTTCACATATGTGCACGAGAGCTTGCGATTGGACGTTGTTTCATCAATCAATAACATCCAACTTACTGATGGCCACATCCTACATACACGTGATTGGAACCATCAACACGATCAATATTCACTACTGCTTTAAGTCAATATATAACATATCTATCAAGAGACCGCAAGTGGTAAGATACTCTCATTAAATGTTAGCATTTGTTGACATCACACACATAGATCACACTAACGTGATGCATCAAATGAACAAATCCACAAGGGCCGTGACGAGGATTCGAACCTGCGCCCGGGAGTATCCCAGACACTGCCTTAATCGACTGAGCAACGACAGGGTAAAAGGGTTAGTTTGTGCCTCGGAGAGGCAACGGGATCCAGCAAGTTCAGTAGAACTTCGGTTTCAACCCTTTTACCCTGTCGTAGCTCAGTCGATTAAGGCAGTGTCTGGGATGCTCCCGGACGCAGGTTCGAATCCTCGTCACGGCCCTTGTGGATTTGTTCATCTGTTGACATGTTATGTTACCAGAGGACCGTGACCCATGTAACATTAAGTCCATCATGACTTAGGCGCTCAATAGTGTAACATTAATCCCATTGTGAAGGAGGCAGAGGCTGATTCTGGTAGGGAGGAAGGGAAGGCATGAAAGAGGAAGAGAGGTGAAGGGGATTGGGAGAGATCCAGAGAGCGAGAGGTCAGTCACAGCAACCCGTCCTCAGTCCAAGTCCATTCCATCCAGCGGTTAACCCCACAGACGCATTCATCAATTTTTACATGCCGTTAATTCAAAACAGGAATTTTCTCGTATATAAATTAATATTATACTATATTAGCATATTGTGCATATATTGGCATAGGTGAGGTTAGGTGTTTAGGTTCTGTTGGCGATTATTTGTGTTTGTAGTACGTGGGTGAAGCATTTACAGCGTTGTGATTCGAACAAAATTCGTCAGTGAAGCACTTGTTCCGGACGTGTTCGAACGAAATTAGTTGTGAGTCGTTTGTAAACCGTTTTTCCCAGTCATAAACAGGGGGGTTGGCGAGTGGATGGAATGGACTTTAGCCTTAGTTTATGAGGACGGGGCCGTGCTGCACGAGGACGGGGCCGTGCTGCACGAGGACGGGACCGTGCTGCACGAGGACGGGGCCGTGCTGCACGAGGACGGGGCCGTGCTGCACGAGGACGGGGCCGTGCTGCACGAGGACGGGGCCGTGCTGCACGAGGACGGGGCCGTGCTGCACGAGGACGGGACCGTGCTGCACGAGGACGGGGCCGTGCTGCACGAGGACGGGGCCGTGCTGCACGAGGACGGGGCCGTGCTGCACGAGGACGGGGCCGTGCTGCACGAGGACGGGGCCGTGCTGCACGAGGACGGGGCCGTGCTGCACGATTATTGACACAAGAAATACCATGATCCAAATATCCAATATAAACAGCTGTGTACTGTTGATACAGTGACCGGCCAGTACCCGTTTGACCGAACCCCAGCCTTAACTACCCTGTAACGAGCCCAGGTTATTAAACAAAAAAAAAATAAAAAAAATAATTAAAGACAAAAAATAGGCACAAAAACAGACCTGTTTATTCTCGGTATATATTATAACGCTGTGATCAGCGCACAAAGAACAAACAATGCCCAACAGTATTCCAAACAAACGTGTTATTCACAAACAATAGCGCATTCACACTTTACTTTCCACCCGCATACAATACCTGTTTTATTAATGCATATACAACAATAGTTTACACTGGATCACAATAATCCTTTAGTCACAAACTTTGAAAGTCAGTTTCTCTATTTTCTAGTCCAAACCTATTGGTAAGGGGGGGGACACGTAACACCATGCAGGGGGGGGGGCACGGTAACACACCATGCAGGGGGCGGGGCACGGTAACACACCATGCAGGGGGGGGGGGCACGGTAACACACCATGCAGGGGGGGGGCACGGTAACACACCATGCAGGGGGGGGGGCACGGTAACACACCATGCAGGGGGGGGGGCACGGTAACACACCGTGCAGGGGGGGGGGCACGTAACACCATGCAGGGGGCGGGGCATGGTAACACACCAAGCAGGGGGGGGCACGGTAACACACCATGCAGGGGGGGGGCACGGTAACACCATGCAGGGGGGGCGGCACGGTAACACCATGCAGGGGGGGCACGGTAACACACCATGCAGGGGGGGCACGGTAACACACCATACAGGGGGGGGCACGGTAACACACCAAGCAGGGGGGGGGCACGGTATCACACCATGCAGGGGGGGCACGGTAACACACAATGCAAGAGGGGGGCACGGTAACACACCATGCAGGGGGGGGGCACGGTAACACACCATGCAGGGGGCGGGGCACGGTAACACACCATACAGGGGGGGCACGGTAACACACCATGCAGGGGGGGCACGGTATCACACCATGCAGGGGGGGACACGGTAACACACCATGCAGGGGGGGGCACGGTATCACACCATGCAGGGGGGGCACGGTAACACACCAAGCAGGGGGGGCACGGTAACACACCATGCAAGGGGGGGGGGGCACGGTAACACACCATACAGGGGGGGCACGGTAACACCATGCAGGTGGGGGCACGGTATCACACCATGCAGGGGGGGGCACGGTATCACACCATGCAGGGGGGGGGCACGGTAACACACCATGCAGGGGGGGGCACGGTAACACACCATGCAGGGGGGGGGCACGGTAACACACCATGCAGGGGGCGGGTCACGGTAACACACCATACAGGGGGGGGCACGGTAACACACCATGCAGGGGGGGCACGGTATCACACCATGCAGGGGGGGGGGCACGGTATCACACCATGCAGGGGGGGGGGCACGGTAACACACCATGCAGGGGGGGGCACGGTAACACACCATACAGGGGGGGGCACGGTAACACACCATGCAGGGGGGGGCACGGTATCACACCATGCAGGGGGGGGGCACGGTATCACACCATGCAGGGGGGGCACGGTAACACACCAAGCAGGGGGGGCACGGTAACACACCATGCAGGGGGGGGCACGGTAACACACCATGCAGGGGGGGGCACGGTAACACACCATGCAGGGGGGGGCACGGTAACACACCATACAGAGGGGGGCACGGTAACACACCATGCAGGGGGGGCACGGTAACACCATGCAGGGGGGGCACGGTAACACACCATGCAGGGGGGGGGGCACGGTAACACCATGCAGGGGGGGGGGCACGGTAACACACCATGCAGGGGGGGCACGGTAACACACCATGCAGGGGGGGGCACGGTAACACACCATGCAGGGGGGGGCACGGTAACACACCATGCAGGGGGGGGCACGGTAACACACCATGCAGGGGGGGGGCACGGTAACACACCATGCAGGGGGGGCACGGTAACACACCATGCAGGGGGGGGGGCACGGTAACACACCATGCAGGGGGGGGCACGGTAACACACCAAGCAGGGGGGGCACGGTAACACATCATGCAGGGGGGGGGCACGGTAACACACCATGCTAAGGTAAACAGTCAGTGTATGTTGTGGCAAGGTGTTCACCCCGTCTGAGGTGCCACTGTTCACCTAAGGGATGCCTCAGTTGCACTCAGAGACTCAGTCTTGTTCCCCGTGAGAAGTGAGGTAAAATCGCCAGCTCCCTTATCTCCCATTTCTCCATAAAGTGGCTTTGACCAGCGTCCCTTGTTATTGATTTAACCACCACAAAATGTCTGTAGCCTAAGGTCGCCATTCTGGCTAGTATATTACTTACCGTAAGATAATTTTCTATTAATAAGTGGAAATAACCTCAGCCTAAAATTCGTGGGTCATACTCAGTTCTTATACTCAGCCTCAGGCAAACAATTCAGAAAGTGAAGATGGAAATAATACTAAACAGCATTTAAATGTAAATGCTTATGGGCAAATATTAACACTTAAATATGGCCACACACTTCAATTAAATTCGAGTGAAATATGGCAACACCGCTCAGGTATCTCTCACTGGTGGATATTAGGCCTTACTTACACAAATACTGGAACTTTGTCCTATAGATAGGAAACTAAATGCCAACACTAGGTATTGAATATTAAACTATAATCTCTATATATCTTTTCTTAAATAAGTATTCCCGCTCAACAAATAACATGAGATATCAGCAGGCTCGTCACTCTACCAAGTGTTATAAATTTATAACACTTGGTGTTATAAATTTATAAATTTGCTTTACTCCTACTCAAAGTAGTTGCCTTGATCTCCTCCGAATTAAATCGTTCCTGAATAAGCATGTACAAGTGTACCAACAAGTTGACACAAACTGGCTTGCTCGCCACAAGAATACTCCGGGAACAATTCATATCAACATCCTATCACAAAGGGAATGGGGAGGGAATTTGATCTACCTTTAAACTCTGTAGTCTTGTAGACTGTCTGATGTTGTCTCAGTAGATGGTTGAGGTTGGCAGATAATTCGTCAGGTCGTTGTCGTAATTCCTGTAGACATACAGTTAGTCTCTCCGCTCTCCTCTGTGATGTAACAGCTGACTACTGACCTTCCCTGACGGTCACCACTGGTACTCCTGCTTGTCAAGTAACTGGGATACGACGAGGGTCTCCCAGACTTCCGCCAATCCCCCCACTTTGCTCACTGGTCTCCGCCTTCTCTCATGCCGAAGATGACGTGACCCGGTAGTTCATCCACCAGGGCCGCACTACTGTTGAGCATATACAGCCCAGGACTGCCCCCACTCGTATTGTAGTAATATTCAAACGGTTCAAACCCAGGAATGGCCCGCGGGTCGACTCTCCACCCCACAACACCGCTTCTTTAAAACACGAAGTTTTTAATGTTTCCCCGACGCTGTTGTAACCAGCACTCCAGTACTTCCACCAATAGTAGCTCGGCGACTCCTTTACTGAGCCTCTCTCGAGATTACACGATTCTCTTTGGAATCAAACTTCACTTTGCGGGACCGACGAATGTCGCGACCTATCACCTTGATGGCCTGAGAAACAGTGACGGCTGGTACCTTGCTCTGTCCTCGAGCGCTGACGTCACACCACGTTACGTCAGGGCGTTTTCTGATTGGCTGAACGTGGGTGCGCGACCAATCACAATCTCCAAAACATGGAAAACTGGGGTGTCTTCACATCCAGAGTATTTTGGCGGGATTTAGTCGCCTCTCGCCAGTCGATCCCTCCATATTTGCTGCAGAGCTTACCTCCTCCCTACCGAACTTAAAAATTGAACAATTCAAATTTTCGGCATCTGGTTTCCATCTGAGTATGCTCATACGAAACCAGGTACCTTCAGGGTTATGGACAAGGGAGAGTATGACTCTTCATAGGCAGGAGAGGAGTGTATTTCACTGGACCACATAACAATGTACACAGAAGCGGTTCACACCTCTCTTTGTATATATCTCCTGCCCTATGTTAATAGGGATGTACAGTAAACACGTATCCAACTATGAACGATAAAACCTTCAACATATTCAACGCCTTCATACTTAATCACGATAAATATAATTTCAAGCAGTTATAAAATTATTAAAAAAAGTATTTGACAAGACTTCTCAGGGTTACATAATAATGTCAACATACAATTCCACGATACAAAATGAACTGTTTGTAAATAAGGAACAAGTGTTTATTAAGCTGATAATGAGGTACAGTACGTGTGTTTACACTGCTTAGCCGTATTCAGTGATGGTCGCTTCATATATCTGCCAGCCCGCAGGCTGTGTTGAAGATCAATTACCATGGCGACGCAAGACAACTGATTTCACTCAGCTCATTACCCAGCACTGTGGATGATACACAGATCTACTGGGCTATTGTGTCATTGTGCTGCACCCTCCTACTCGACTCTATATCTGGATCTCTCTCAATATGACTCGCCTGCCCTTAAGTCTCTGACAAATATGGAAATTCAAACAGTATATAAAAGAATGCGCTGACTAGCACACGCTGGGGTTCAGGAGCTAGCGCACGACCCTCCAAGTGTATTAAAGTTAATATTATATATGCGTGGTTCCATTCTCTCTGACGCAGGATATAATACAATGTGTCTCTCTAATGGGTTTACTGTTAACACGATGTAAAATGCAAGACTTTAGTCTAAGACTATTACAAGACTTTATTCATTAATGCAGTTAATTATTAATGCGAGTCTACTGACTCTAGTACTAGGCTAAAGGTCGATAATTCCTCTATCACTGATCAGTGGATCTTTTTACTTTAGTACTTTATTGATGACGCTTTATCACTCCTGGATTCAAGACTCAAACTTTTTTTTTCTCCACCAGCTCTTTGTTTACGGTGCCCATCTGATTGCTTACAACAGACTGGCCTACTGTTGGCATCGAACAGACTAGGCTATTTTTGCCTAGTCTGTTTGATTTTTGCTCCTAACAGATTAAAATATTTTTTTTGCTTCTAACAGGCAAGACTATTTTTTGCTTCCAGCACTCTAGAATAGTTTTTGCTTCTAAAATATTTTATTTTTTGTTTTTACTTCCAACAGACTAGGCTTTTGTTTTATTCCAACAGACTAGGCTACTTTTTGCTCCTAACAGATTAGAATATTTTTTGCTTCCAACAGTTTGTTGGAATCAAACAGATGCCTATAGGCATCTGTTTGAATCCAACAAACATTTTGCTTTTGACAGATAAGACTTCTTGTTCTTATTAAAAATTTTCAGTACATGATCACAAATGCTATTACATTAAACTGTGTGTCTAATAAAGGTTTACATTATGAGCGAGCTATGTGATTTTAAAATCTCCATGTCACAGGCTGGTTAGTATTACGTGGGGTATGTGATCAGTAGCCTACACTAGCAAACTTTTAGATGATATATGAGGATATCATTAAGCAAGACTACGCTAACTATTTAACACTCCAAACAAGACTGTCCGTTCTAACAAATGGATATCAGTTTCCTTATAAATTGATTATATTCCATTATAAACTGATATTGCATCAGCTTAATTACTGTCAAATCAGCAAACTGTAGAGCTGTGGTCTTGCCATTTGTATTTCAGGATACACAATGATAATGTAGAATGCTGAATAATTGTTTAAAATTTAATTTGGGTGTGTTCGATTGGGAGGGTTAAAATTTGAGTGGATGAATGGTAGAGTAGCACAATGTACTCGCATAGTTGTACTCACCTAGTTGTGCTTGCAGGGGGTGATCTTTTGGCTCTTTGGCCCCACCTTTCAACCGCCAATCAACTGGTGTACAGATTCCTAAGCCTACTGGGCTTTATCACATCTATATTTGAAACTGTGTATGGAGTCAGCCTCCACCACATCACTTCCTAGTGCATTCCATTTACTAACTACTCTGACACTGAAAAAGTTCTTTTTAATGTCTCTGTGGCTCATTTGGGTACTCAGCTTCCACCTGTATTCCCTTGTTCATGTACCACCCGTGTTAAATAATCCATCCTTGTCTACCCTGTCAATTCCTAACCTGTTGTCTTTGGTGCCTTTAGCTTCTTTTGAGAACTTAAAAGTACATTATACAAAGCAAGTAAGTTTTAATGGAGCGGGTTGGTTCGCCAACTCACCTGATGTCAAACGGCAGTAAAGCCTAACAAAGTCTTCCGACATTTGTAATTATTTACACACGAGGGTACAGGACTAGACGACTTTCGACTCCTGTTAACAGGACTACAGCTTTCCTTGCCCAGACCTCACCTCAAGCCTCACCTTACTAGTTTCCCCTGGAGCACAACTCGACAATCGGGGCGAACAGTTTAGGATTGTTGACCAGACCACACACACTAGAAGGTGAAGGGACGACAACGTTTCGGTCCGTCCTGGACCATTCTCAAGTCGATTGTGGATCCTAAACACCGGTTTAGGATTGGTGTTTAGTCAACCCCTCCTGCCTAGGCTCGAACCCAGTCGGAATCGCTCGCAGGGCACGTGGGTTAACTTGCACCCCACTGCATCATGGGCTGTCACATCTATTGACTTTGCACTTGCTTAAAAAAAAATTAGTATGGCTAATTCTTGTTTATTGACAGGATAGCAAATTTGCAGGATACAATATACCATTTGTTAAGCCATATATCGTATAGCTAATATTTAAATGAAATCGTCAAGGTTTTTACAGTAGACAATACGAACAGTAGGAACTTATAGTGATAGACGGAACTGAGGAGCCTGGTCTTGTTAGGCACCGTAGGCTACGCTGCTTATTCATCATTATTACCAATGCCAAACATAAAACTCTCAATGGTCAAAGAGCATAAAAAAACCGTCAAACAAAACTCGACAATCGACACCTCTCGACGGGTTCCAGGTATATAATGACAAAGGCAAAAGCTCACTCTAGAAAATTATGAAAAAAACTACATTTTATTACAAGTATATGAAAAATCTTGATCGAAATCCGTATAAATGAGATCTAATTACAATTTAGTATTTTTTTTAATTTACTTCAGTTCATGTGTACCAACAAATAAATAATTTTTTAAATAAATTTATTGTTTCTGTTCTGATAATTTTCGTTTTTTAGTACTAAGTTGAAATAGAAAATTAAGTTTTATTTATCTTTAAAAATCACTTCAAATTTGAGGGACAGTGTTGCTTCCTGTACCAACAAGACACTTTCCAAGTATCTACAATCAACTAACGCTCAAGTCTACTAAAAATTCGAACGAAGTCCGTAATAGAAAGTAAAAGCCTAGAGGGACATAAATATGAGCTCCATCTAGGTTCAGATTTCTATCCCAGTGGCTAGTGCAACACTTAATCTGCACCCCTTCCTTTGGCTAGAAGAGGGTTAACAAGCCACACCAGTCCTCACACTCTCTGACACAACATACACACACCATACACACTCACACCCCCACACACTCACACCCCCCACACATTCACACCCCCCACACATTCACACCACACACTCTCACCCCACACACACTCACCCCACACACACTCACACCCCACACACTCACACCCCCCCACACAATCTCACCACATACTCTCGTCCCGCACACTCACACGACACACACTTACACCCCCCACACTCTCACACCATACACACACACACCCCCCACACTCTCACACCACACACACACCACACACACTCACACCACACACACCCCCCACACTCACCCCCCACACACACTCACCCCCCACACACACTCACCCCCCACACACTCATGCCCCACACGCTCCACACTCCCACACACCACATATATTAATATTTAAATCCAATTTGTTCTCAAATACACTTTTCTGCGTTGAGAGATACTTACGACTACAGCATTAGTTAAAGACATCGACGGTACATCACAACCCAGACAACTAGTGAAACACAATACTAAAAAATCATCTCACTAGTTGGAAATGCTTGGCTCGGTGGTAGCTAGCTTGCTCCACGCCTTGCGAACGAACTCGGCCAGGTTCGAGCCCTAGCCAGGGAGGGTCGACTAGGCAACGATTTTGAACTTAACGCTCTGTCTTAGTAGTAATTGGGGATCTGTTTGTAACCAGCCTCCCCCAGGCTGGCCTCGGGGAGTTGAAGAACTTCTGAAACCCTCCTTTACGGGCTCACCATAGCCCGTGCTACATGGACACTTCGTTCTGAGTAGCTAAATCTGAAACAACAACCTGAAACCCTCTCCAGGTAACCCTACTGGCAGGTGGTGTTCCAGATGGGAACTTGGGGGTAAGACTTAAGATAAGCTGCATGGAAGGGAAAGCTTTACATCTGCTAACAAGGGTCAGAAGTCGTCGGCTACTGTATCCACCGTTGTTAACAAAATAAATCGAGAGCACTGCTGACTGACAGACGCCACCAGCCCCTAACCAGAACCACTGACTCGTGAAGGCCAGTGGAGCTGGTTAGGCCACACTTACATGGCGTCTTCACCAGACTAGAAGCTGGACTGAAAACATTAACAATTTTTTTTTTAGGTGGAGTGCAAAATCATGACTATTTTCTGTATAAATTACTGTCAACGAATCTCCCAAAATTTCAGCTCTTTTACAAATGGCGCATAAATTAATCTATTACAGAAGCTGAACTAAACTAGCAATAATATACAGAACCTGAAAGTGAAAAGTCAAAATAGTTGAGGGATGGATCCAGATTGTGAAGAAGACTCAAGAAAGATCCCTCACTGTCGCTGGAGATTACAGAGCCAAGCAGGAGACGGCTGGATCAGGCACCACCAGCTCCCGGCCCAAGCCACCAGCGGCTTCCTCTCTCCTCTGCTATGTGAGGTTCAACATATTTCCTCTCACATCCCAGTGTTGTGATGGAAACTGGTGCGCGTGTATCGTTAAAACAAAGTCGGAATTAAAAAGAATCGGAAATGTTTTCAATATGTCACTGTTATCGAGGTTACACAAGGACGGTTAATGCGAAAATGTGGACTTCAGCAAATACACACATTCGGGCGGCGGTCTCAGGGGAGAGGGCGGGGCTTTGGACATGATGCCCGGGGGTGTGCTTGGAAAGTACCTGAAGAGAAGGGGCAGTACTTAATGAGGCAGGTACCCTGGGGTACCTGCCTCAGGTACCCCAGGGGTACCTGAGGAAGGGCTGGCCTTAAGATAGCATCCTTAACCCCAGGGTACCTGAGGAAGGGCTGGCCTTAAGATAGCATCCTTAACCCCAGGGTACCTGAGGAAGGGCTGGCCTTAAGGTAGCATCCTTAACCCCAGGGTACCTGAGGAAGGGCAGGCCTTAAGGTAGCATCCTTAACCCCAGGGTACCTGAGGAAGGGCTGGCCTTAAGGTAGCATCCTTAACCCCAGGGTACCTGAGGAAGGGCTGGCCTTAAGATAGCATCCTTAACCCCAGGGTACCTGAGGAAGGGCTGGCCTTAAGGTAGCATCCTTAACCCCAGGGTACCTGAGGAAGGGCAGGCCTTAAGGTAGCATCCTTAACCCCAGGGTACCTGAGGAAGGGCTGGCCTTAAGGTAGCATCCTTAACCCCAGGGTACCTGAGGAAGGGCAGGCCTTAAGGTAGCATCCTTAACCCCAGGGTACCTGAGGAAGGGCTGGCCTTAAGGTAGCATCCTTAACCCCAGGGTACCTGAGGAAGGGCAGGCCTTAAGGTAGCATCCTTAACCCCAGGGTACCTGAGGAAGGGCTGGCCTTAAGATAGCATCCTTAACCCCAGGGTACCTGAGGAAGGGCTGGCCTTAAGATAGCATCCTTAACCCCAGGGTACCTGAGGAAGGGCTGGCCTTAAGGTAGCATCCTTAACCCCAGGGTACCTGAGGAAGGGCTGGCCTTAAGGTAGCATCCTTAACCCCAGGGTACCTGAGGAAGGGCAGGCCTTAAGGTAGCATCCTTAGGGATACCTGAAAGAGGAAGGGTGGGCATGAATGGTGTTTTCGGGGTACCTGGATGGGCAGGGCTAAGGGCAGTGCCCTCGAAGGGCACTTGAAAGAGAGGGTGTTGTACGACTGTTTCAGCATCACTGTTCTTCATCACAGTCTAGTGAATATGCGCTACATCACTTACAAGTTGATTCGCCTTGAAGGTGATTCAATCACCTTCTCTCCTGATCACCCATCCACCTCGTGTTCTTA